GACTGCTGCTGGGATTGGCATCACCCGTGGGATTGTCCATCATGTCAACCAGAAAGCTCACTGCCTGTTTGTGCTGGGTGGGCTGCCCTGTGAGCCGAAGGAAAACTCATCCGGCTTGGGTTTGGGGGACCCCCTGTTGCAACCTCAGGTGGGACAAATCTGTCCTAATTTGGAAATATTTCTCTTGTTGATCATCGGTGTCAGTTACCTTAAGCCTCGCTAATTCCTCATTGAATTCGTCTCCTGAGGCTGGAAAGGACCTTGGGATTTAAAATGTTAGAGGTAGGGAGCGCCTCAGAGATCCATGGAGTCTGGCCTCCAGATGTTATAAATTAGGAAAGCCTTCTCTGGCCATAATAATAGTAATAAGAACCAGTATAGAGAGAGATTTTTAAGGCTGACGAAGCACTTTATGTATTATCTCATCTGACCCTTACTAGGACCCTGGGAAGTAGGGGCTATTGTTATCCCCATCTTACAGATGAGGAAACTGAGTCTCAGGGAGACTCAGTGACTTGACCAGGGTCACCCAGCTCAGTAAGAGTCTGAGGTGAGATTCAGGCTCCTTGGACCCAGCACTCTCCTTGACCTGGAATCTAGGAGCTAAGTCTCTGTGGTTCTTGCCCCTGGCAGCCGGTCCAGGAACAATGAGGCTCTCCCATTGTTGGTTTGTAGGTACCTAAGAGGGAGTAGTGTTTCGTTTGTTTGTCATTAACTCTAAATCGGCTGGCTGCCTAGTTGTATCAGAGGCTGCCGCCCTTGAGGAAATGCCTCCAGCATCTCGCCTTAGCACAAAGTGGAAGGAGGATGTTCAGCTCCACGGGCTTGCTCCCTTCCTCCCTTTGAACACACAGAGGCAGAGGGAAATTGGACTCCGGATTGGACACCAGTTTGGGAGAGGAAGAGGGAGCCAAGGGGCTTTAACATGGATGGGGCTCCAAGGAGGTCCTGAGCATGCAGGCAAGGGCTGCCCTTCAGAGTGAAAAGTGGTTGCTTTCGTTATGTCCACATTTTCAGTGACCTTCATAGGGAAACCTAGAGAAGAGAGAAGGCAGAAAGAGAAGGTCCCCAGAAAGGACCTGTCAGGCCTTCTGGAAGCAGCCTTTCCCCTTTGTTACCTGCCCCGGCAGATGGTGATGGTCCTCGTAAAAGAGTTCAGGAGCTCTTGCCTTCTTTTTCCACCTGAGTGATTTGTCCTGAAGTGCCCAGCCCTGGGCAGTCACCTCCTCCAGGGGGCACGAGAAGTGTGGCAGGCAGAGGAGACGATAGAAACACGCTGAAATAAGCACCTGGTCCAGCTTCATCTTCCTGCGAATCCTGTGACGTTGACGGATGAGCACCATTGCGGCCGTGGTGCCGTGGGGAGAATGGACCAGTGAAATGGCCGAGTGGAGCTGGATGTTACTTCACAAGCTTGGGGGGCTCCTCCAGCCCAGTGTCATTGATTATCCTTCGGAGAGCATTTTGGATCCCAAATGTGTTGATGAAGCCCATGAATGCTTCTTTGGGGAGTGTTCTGGCCCTCAGATAAAGAGCCTAGAACGTGGGGGCAAAGAAGCCAGGCGCAAGGTTCTGCTGCTGGTTTTACTGTCAACTTGCCCCATGGCTCCACTCTGACCACTGCCTCCTCTTCTTGAGAGGGAGAGGGTTGGACTTGATGACTGAGGCTCTTGGGGGGTTCCCCTGAAGCCAGTGTAATTCTGTGAGATGAGACTCCAGGCATTTTCCATAGCCAGGATCATTCCCCCAACACTTGCCTTGAGGCCAGTGTTTGATTTGGGTCTAAGGGATTTCTTCTTTGTTCAAGACCTCTCCTCTCATCCTGCTGCTGGTACCTGCTCCATTAGCAGATCTCAGAAAATGAGGCTCGTGGCTTGAGTGATCGCAGTGCTGAGTCTGGGTCAGAGCCGAGAGGGGCCCTAGACACCATGTGATGGTCCACTCTTGCTTCACACAGTAGGAAACTGAGACCCGGGTAAGGGAAATGACTTGGCCCGGGTCACACCGTCAGGCGACAGCCACAGGTCGCCGACTCTCCTTTCTCTGCTCCTTGCCTGGCGAGCAGTTCACCAGCTCACCCAATAATGTAAGGATGAGCAGGGAGGCATGGGGTGTCACTGATAGGGCTCTGGCATTGCTTGTCAGAGGACTTAGGACGACTTTGGTATTTGCACACATGCCAGCCCGACCCCCACATGACCCTTTGGACTCTCTACCTCCCGGGGCCCGGGGGGGGGGGGGGGGGGGCCCCCCCCCGCCGGGCCTCCTGGCTGCCTACCTTCCCTCCCCCACCCAGCCCCAGGGTTGAACACAGCAGCTCTGCCCTGAGGCTGCAGAGCTGGCTGTCGTTGCCATAGCAACCTCGGAAGCTCCCTGGAGCAGACAAGGCAGCCCTTCCATGGTGCTGGGATTAAAGATGTTTCATCTGGAGAGGGAGGGAACAAGGGGTTGATGTGAATATGAACTAGGATTCTCTTTAATCTCCCGCAACTCGAAGGCCTGGCAGGGTCTGCACGTGGCTTTGCAGAGGCCCTGGGTGACTGGACTACACGGGGGCGGGGGGCCTGGAGAGTGCCCTTAGGGCAGCACCCCATCTCCACCAAGAAAGACTACTGACATTTTAAAATGAGCCAGGATCTCATACTGAAAGGCGTGGTGCCAGCTGGTGGGGCACTCCTCTCCTTGGCCTGTGAGCCATGGGCAAACTGAGCAAAAACCTGGTTTATGTGTGAAGTTCAGCCCTGGCCTCTGGTCCCCGAAAGGAGTCGAGTCATGGAGTCACCTCAGTCTACCTCTCTGTAAAGTGGGGGTGCTGGCACTCTTCCTGACAAAGTTGCCTGGTCAGTAGTAGCTAATGTTGTGCCAGTTACATACATGTTATTTTGGGTGATCTCCACAGAGGAGGTGCTGTTATTTTTCCTGTTTTACACACGAGGAAGCTGAGTCTGGAAAAGATTAAATTATTTTCCCAGGGTCACATATGAGACAGGTTCCTAACTCCAAGTCCAGCTTTCTCCCCACCCCAACCTCCTACCTGCCTCAGCAACCAGCAGTTATTAAGCACCTACTGTGTGCCAGGCTCTGGGGACACAAGACAAAAACGAAATCACTAGTACCATTGAGGAACTTGCATTCCTGCGTTCCATCATATTGGGAGGCAGTGTCACCTACACCAGTGAACTTGGAGCCCTAGCTGTGTGACCCTGGGCAAGTCACTTAACCAAGCTTCAGTTTCTTTATGTGTAAAATGGGGATAACCAAGCACATACAGGACAAGGCCTTCTCTAGGGCTGTCCTCCCTTCCTGGGATGCTCTGCCTCCAGGCCTCCCAGGCTTCAAGTCCCACCTAAAATCCCACCTTCTGCCAGGTGCCTTTCCACCTCCCCTCTAAACCTGGTGCCTTCTCTGTTTTTTGCTGCCAGTTTATCCCGTGTGTGTCTTGTTTGTACAGAGTTGTGCATGTTGTCTCCCCCCCCCCCCCCCCCGCATTAGACTGTGATCACCATGAGGGCAGGCACTCACTGTCTTTTGCCTTTCTTTGTCTCCCCAGCCTTAGTGCCTGGCACATAGTAGGTGCTTAATAAATGCTTCCATATGTATGTATTAATGCATTTTGCAGACTTTAAGTGCTAGCTGTTATTAGCATTGGGGGCCACAACATGGATATGAAGTGATTGGGGGCTTGGGAGAGGGTGGGGAATGTCTCCTGAGGAAAATGCTTTGGAAACCATAAAATGCTGTATAAATGCCGCTAACAAAACACTGGATTAGGGCCTTCAGGAACTCTCGATGGGGAGGAAGGACAAAGGACATTTGAAAGGCTGGCCAGACCAGTTTTGAGAGCTGTGGAGTCTAACCTCTCATTTTATAGAAGAGGAGACTGAGGCACATGGATGGAAAGTGGCTGATCTGGGATTGGAAGCCAGGCTCCAGTCCAAGCTGAACAGTCTCTTCACTGTGCCATCAAGCATCACTTCTCACCTGAACCAGATCTTTGGAATTTAAGATGTGGCTGCAAAATCTTATCTTGCAGTTGTCTTGCTAGGGAAGCGGGAAGAGAGGAGAATAAACATGTATGTAGAATCTACTGTTTGCCAGGCACTGTGCTGAGTACTTACAGATATCTCCTTTGATCCTCACAACAACCCTGGGAGGGAGGTACTATTACAGATGAAGAAACCGAGGCAGACAGAGGGGCAGTGACTCGCCCAGGGTCACACAGCTAGAAAGTTTCTGAGGCTGTGTTTAAACTCAGGTCTTCCTGAGTCCAGGGCCAGAGCTTTAACCATTGTGTCACTTAGCTAGGAAAATAATTTGTTTCTGATTAGGAAAAAAAAAACCTCTCTAGGTACAAATTTAAAAAAAAAACCTGCAAAAGTCTACAGAAATCAGTAGTTTGATGAACTAGTTTGATTTACTGTAAGCAACAATCAGTAAACATTCTCCGCCCCTAGCAGCTTTTGACTCAACTGAGGGTTGAGGGGTGGGAGAGTGAAGGAGGCAAAGGGAGAGAACAGAATGTTGGAGGAAAGTAGCCCACTAGTCCTGCAGGAGCCTAGAGGTGTGTGCATGGGGGAGGGGGGGCAAGGTGAAATAAGGCTGGGCATGTGAGTCAGAGCTAAATGAATGAATGAGTGTTAATTAAGCAGTGATTATGTGCCAAACACTGTGCCAAGTGCTGGGGTGTGTGTGGGAGGGGGGTGGTGTATGTGTGGGGTGTATGCGTGTGGGGGGGGCCTGTGTGTGTGTGTGTATGTGTGTGTGGGAGGGGGGTGTGGAGACAGAGGAGAGATGGGGAGGTGGCAGGTGCATGTGGGATGCTCAGTAAATAGATAGCTGTTAGTTCCTAGAGTCAAGAGATTTCTAGCTAGCAGGAGCCCAGCTGATTGTGACTCCCCATCAGATCGGGCGCCCTCCTGAACCTCCTTCCCTGTGCATTCATGTCTTCCTGGGATAGGATAGGGACCTGTATGATGGTGGATACCTTAACTCCACTCTAGTTCTGAATCAGTGGGCAGTGTATGCCATACGAAACCTGACTGAACACAATAAAAGAAACCAAGAGCTAATTGCAAAGATGGAGGACCATGGACTGGCAGATACAGCCATGCTAAAGAAGATGGGTCTTGAGGTTGAAAAACGAGATGGCAAACTTACTTTGAGATCTACAAGAAAAGGTCCTAGTTGGTAAGTAAACCCAAGTAAAATCTTTCAGCACCTGTGGTAGTAGGAAGCTTGAGCCCTCTTGTGATGGCAAGATGCTGAGCACCCCCAGACCAAACCCCATCAGGGTGAAGAGGAAGCAGGGAGGCTAGAAAAGCAAGTCGGTAAGACTGAGCACAGAAGGAGCTGAGTCCCACCTTCCTTCATTGAGCAGACCAGCTCCCAGCATTCTAAAGGAGTCCTTTTTAATTGTTGAGCTAATATCTACCAAGAACACAGGACTTTGCTTGGTGCTGAAAAGCTAGAAGTTGGTGGGTAATGGGTGTAGCTGCTGTTAGCCACCAAGAGCTGCTCAGATTAGGGGCCTCAAAGGTGCGTGACCAGCACGGGGGGGGGGGGGGGGGGGGGGGGGGGGGGGGGTCCCGAGGCCTGACTGAAGGACGATAGTCAGATAGCCCGTCTACTCTGACTTGCTGTGGAAGCTTGACGGGAGGAAGGGCATCAATTGGGGAGTGATTGCCATCTCTTCTGTGAGAGGGAGAAATACCCATATCACCTTGAGAAGTGAAGGTTGACCATCAAAAGTAATGGTCACTTAGGTAACCTGGATTTTGTTAAGCTCTGAAAGTAACATGTTGCCACTTTCAGAAAAAATATTAATTCCAATTTTATAGAAATTTGTTTTACTTTTTTTTTTTTGGCTAGGCAATGAGGTTAAGTGACTTGCCCAGGGTCACACAGCTAGTAAGTGTTATGTGTCTGAGGCTGAATTTGAACTCAGGTCCTCCTGACTCCAGGGCCAGTGCTCTATCCACCGCACCACCTAGCTGCCCATTTTACTTTTTTTTTTTTTTTTTAACAATGTCTGCTGAGGTGTGGGGGCGTGCCTTGGCTCAAGTCTGAAGGCCTTGTCACAATTGGGCATTGCACCCATCTGATCCTTCTGGGGGATCTTCTTTATGTACATTGATTATTGTAGCATTTTCTGTTCTTGTCTGTCTGCCTCTGTTCAAGCAAGTCATCCCAAGTTTCTCTGAACCCTTTTTATGTATCTCATGACCAGTTTATTCAGCCATTCCCAATCAAGGGGAACTTAGTTTGGCTACCACAAAGACTTTTGCTGAGAATATTTGGGTGTCCATTTTCCTCAAAACTACCCTGTGAGGTAGAGAGTATAATGATGATCAGTAGGGATGAAGCTAGTTGAGTCTTTCAGTTGAGAAGGTTTAGTTTTGGAAATGGGCCTGAGCCATTGGCATTCACACGATTTCCTTCCTCCCCATCACTTAGTGAATGATCCCGCCACCTGCCTCTTGGCTCCTGGCTCCTGGCTCCTTGGGATTTGCCACTGCAGCAGGACATGAAATTACAAGGGTCTGGAGAATTTCAAACCAGCTCAAAGCCAAGAATGCCTGAAGTTTGGGGAAAACAGTTGGATGTACCTGGGCCCCAGTGGAAATGTGCCTGCAGAGGGCCCACTGGACACTGGGCAGTTTGTGCCTGAGTTACCGTAGACTTACTGCATCTTCAGATAATAAAACTTTCTGTTTGGGGAGGCTCCGTCCTCCTGTGGTCTAAGAGCCGTCTATTTGTTTGCCCCTTCAGGTCCTATTGCTGAGTGTTCTGAACTCTGAGTGTGCCTGCCTCCCCAAAACCTGGACAAAACTCACTTCCAGGGAGATGCAGAATGGAAGCACCCTGCTCTATTGTCCTTGCTGGCAGGGAATGATGGGGCCCAGAGATTCAAGGGGCCAGGTTCATGCCTCTGACCCCTAATGGGGTTCAGAGACGTGGGGCCCTTGGAGCCCATTACCTGGAGAGTTAAGAGCTCGCTCCAGCTTAGCCACCAATCATCTGTTGTGCTTTACTGAGCTGGGGCAGAATAGCTCTACGTGTCTTTTAAAACTCCAGATACCAAGATGGCAAAGACATGGACTGGTTGCTTCCAGGCCAGTCTGGCAGAGGAGGGAGCAGCAAGGTGTGAGGACAGAGCTCTGTCCTCGGGGAAATCAGTGGGGTTCAAATCCCCTCTTCAGCAATAGTGTTTCCGCACAACAGATCTGGAAGTAACCTCAGAGACCATTTAGCCCTTTTGTTTTATGGATAAGGAAACGGAACTCAAGAAGAAAGCAGTGGCACAAGGCCACGCGGCAGCAGGTTAACAGCTGAGATTTGAACCCAGGCCCTCCAGTTTTAAATCCAAAGGACCTTGGCTTTCTGCCATTCTGGCTGCGTGAGATGCCGTGCGAGTGCCTTCACCTCTCGGACTCTCCTTCCTCGTCTGTGGAAGGAGAATAGCAATCAGCCTTGCTCTCACGCATGCACTCTCTCCCTACCCTGGCTGGGCCTCGTAGCTGTCGGAGAATCCTCCTCTCCAACGTTGTCAGCGAAAGGAAGACTGGGAGTCAGTGCCTGGCCCCGCTCCTTTCCCACGCCGGTCGCTGATCCTGAAACGAGCCAGCCGCCCAACCCTGACCACAGGTTGGACACCCCTCTCCAGGCTGTTCGGAGCAGAATAGCCCCTGGCTCCTTGCAGCGTTGACTAAATTGCTTTTTCACAAACCCGGGCACTTGGAAGACTCCAGTGAAAGCTTTCGGAGGCGCTAAGTGCTGGCCCCGGGGTATTAACGCTTAGGAAGCATTTTCAAGTCCGCGGGGTTCCTGCAAAGGCTGGGAGGAGCGTTTTCATCACCTCCAGGACATTCTTTGAGGGTAGAAACCAAGGCAAATAAAAACGCCAAGAATTCCCTTCTGTTCTGAGGGCCGGAGAGTCAAAATCCTGCCCACAAAACAAATCGAGATGGAGGCCTGGCCTGAGGAAAAAAACAGTAGGGGGGGACACGGGGGAGGGGTGTTTCTTTTTTCCTTTTTAACGAGTTTGCAATAGACACTTTTTTTTTAGCCTCAATGGTTGTCTGGCCACCAATAGAATCACGCGAACATGGACTTAGAAACCGCACAATGGCCGGCACAAATAGCTAAGAGGGAATCCTCTGGGAATGGACGAGGGGGGTCATAGTTATGTGTTTTCTAAATAGGAAATGGGGGGCTTTCAGAGGGAAAACATGCTGATGACTCTATTGTGAGCGGCTTTTGATTCCCTGGGATAGATGAATTCTTCGGAGACGACAGCTGCCCCGGCTCCCCCGGAGCCCCGAGACCGTTGTCTTCCACGCCGGGAGGGCTTAATGCGCCGACCACAAGATGAGGAGGGGCAGCAGCCTGGGAGAGTTTGTGAAGGGTCAGCCTGGCCTCAGCAAGTCTTGTGACCAGAGCTCACGGACAAACAAGCCCCATTTTGGAGACTCTTTTATTTTGAAAGCAACAGGGAAGATGGATTGTCTTCCTGGTAACGAAGTTTCCCCTGCTACCCTCGCGCTGCGGCCCCCACCCCCCTCCCTGGCCGATCGTCGTCTCTCTCCCCATATTCTCTTGTAACTTTGCCTCCATCCCATCACGCCATGTCGTCTCTAATAGGCCGTGAGCTCTCTGAGAGCAAGACCTGGGACCTCTCCCTCCTTGGCGCCCCCACCTTACCCAGGGCCTGACATACAGGAGGCGCACACTAACTGCTGCATCCCATAGCCCTGTTGAGTGGAGGAATTTTGTGTCTTTCAGTCCGTTAAGGAGAGTGGACATCAGCGTGTGTCCTCTGGATGAATGAGTGAAGGAATGAATGAAAAGGCATTTATCAAACACTTAGCATGTGCAAAAACTGCTACGGAAGAGCAACCTCAGGATTTTGGGAGCAGCCAACGGCCCCGTGATTGAATTCCCTGGCCTCGGGAAGTCTCCTGTGCAGTCCAGCAAACCGTGCCCTTTGCTAGTTGGTTAGATGGGTGTGAGGAAGATCGCAAAGCTTAGCGAAGAACCTGGAACAACTCACTCTGGGCTTGTGCTTGGAAGCAACTGCCTCCCAACACTCATGCAAGCTAGGGAACCGCAGCCCCCCTTGAAGCATGAGAGCACGCGTTCAGAGGGGGAGTGGCCTCTTTCCAGTGGGGCAGCCCCAGCCTCCTGGGGCTGACAGTCAGCGCGGGTGGGGGCGGGGGGGGATGTAATACATACAGAGGCTAGTGAGGAGCGAGGAAGTTGCTGATTACCTCGGAAAGCTCCAGCTGCCATTGGCCCCTTACTGCTGCAAGGGCAGACCTGGACAGATCCAGGCCCAGGCTGTTTTAAAAAACCCAGCACCGAGTCAGACCACAGGAAAATGTAATGAATTAGTGAGCCATCCCCACCCCCTTTAGACTACTGAAAAACAAACAAACCAGAACCATTGGGATGCATTCTACAGTTGAGGTGGTGGGGGAGGTGTTCCTTTTACCCTATCGTTCCCCATTCCTAGAAAGTAAAGCTCATGGAAATAGCACTTTCTTAGGTACAGGACAGCGAGGGAAAGGTACAAATCTGACAAGTGAATCCAAGTTGAGCAGGGGCACCACTAGCTTCTGAATCCAAACTCAATTCTTGGCCTGCATAAGGTCCCCTGGGTGCTGTCCAAGGTACTGATCGTCCTATAGGCTCTGAAAAGTACACATCCTAGGATTTAGAATGGAGGAGACATTAGATATCCATACCAGCCGACTTATTTTACATATAGGGAAACTGAGACCCAGAGAAGTTAGTTATAATACTTAGTTTCTGAATATTCTATTTAAGGGGAGGGGAGCTATTACTGTCACTTCAAGCCATACAGGTAAGCAGCACAAACTGATGTACTATGCCTGATGGCATATGCCTCAGACCACAACTGTCATCTACCACATCTCTGTCAAGAGAGAAGTGTGTTTAGTCATTGCATTGATTTGAGTTCTTTTAGTCTGAGATGTCTTTTAGTGGTTAATAGTGATTCCATTACATCACCAGGGTCCTTATGTCCGTTCCCGTGGTGGTTACTTCATGAAAGCCTTCCCAAGTTCCTCTGAATTTCTCATGCTTTTTTTTCTTACAGAGAAGTCATATTACATTACATTAATGTCCACATCTTGTTTAATCATTTACCAAGTGACAGAACCTCACTTTGTTTCCAGGTTTTTGCTATCATAAATGGTGTTATTAGGAATATTTTTGTATATGTGGGGCCTTTCACTGTATCCATACCCCCTTGAAGTAGATTCCCCATCATAGGATCACTGTTAAAGAGTATCGTGATTCCAAATTGTTTTCTTGAATTGTTGAACCAATTCACAGCTCCACTAACAATGTAATAGTTTGCCTGTTTTCCTACAGCCTTTCCAACACCAACTATTTCTGGTTTGTTTGGGTTTTTTTAATGATCTTTTTTGGGTGTGAGAGGAAACCTCAAAACTGTTTTAATTTTCATTTATTATTGATGATCTTGAGTATTTTATTATAGTTGTTAATAGTTTGTGTTCCCTTTCTGGAAAACTTCATATGCTTTTATCAACTGGGGAATGGCTCTCTGTCTCATGTTTTTGTACCAAATCCCTGAACATCTTGTATATCAAACCTTTATCAGAGATATTTGATTCAGGAGTCCTTTACCAAATGATAACTTTTCTTTTCATCGCAGCCTCGAAATTACTTTTGAGTCTGAACACCTTATTCCGAATGCCTTGGTTAAAACTATTCTTACAGCCTTCTAGCACACCCTGAGAGCCACCATGGGACATGCCCTGACTGGTCCATGGGAAGGGGGTCTGCCTACTAGCAAGGGGGTGGAGGGTGCAACTCCGATGGGTTAGCCATGTTGTTCTGATGCAAAATACACGCTTACCCAAAAGACTATCTTATGGAGAACTCACACAGGGTAAGCACTGGAATGGTGGTCAGAAGAAGTGATACAAGAACACTCTCAAGGTCTCACTTAAGAACTTTGGAATTAATTGTGTTACATGGGAGATGCTGGCACAGGACTGCTCAGCATGCCATGCCCACATCAGAGAAGGTGTTCTATGAGCAAAGCAGAATTGAAGTAGCTCAAAAGAAACATAAGATGCCCAAATGTAGAGAATCCACTCCAAATGTTCACATGGACTATTTGTGCTCGACCTGTGGTGGAACATTCCGAGCTCGTATTGGTCTGATCAACCCACAGTTGGACACACTGTAACTTGACTCTAGCATAGCGATGTCACTTTGGTCCTCTTCAAGAACGAAGGACAACAACCAGCCAACCACATCCTGATCACTTCACGACCCACTCCAATTCACTGCCTCCCCATCAGCCCAGCACCTCCTTCCTATGGGATTCGAGTTTTCTCCATCCACCAATCCACTTTATCTTTCTGTTCACTGTCACATTGCCTTTTCCTCCTTATATTGCCTTGCCAACTGTCTTTTCCTTTTTGTGTCTACCTCTTCAGGTTCTACTCCCTAATCCTATTTAATTCTCCTTATGCCTCTTATGGAGCTTCCTGAATCACCCAAGCTCCTGCTTCCCTTGCAATTCAGAAATAGAATATCAATGGATATCCAGGACTGGGGGTTATTTTCCTTCACATTTTCCTCAGTTTACCCCAAATGTGGCCAAATTTCTCCTCCCCAAATTCACTCTGTGACTTCCATGAATCCAAACCCCTCCAAGTCACCAAGATGATTTTCTTCTTTCTTTCCAGCTCTAGTCCTCTCATATCCTCCCACAAACTTCTCTGATGGAAGTTGGAAGGAGAATAATCCTAACCTCATTTTCTTTCTTTCTTCTTTAAAGATGATTACTAAACAATAGATGCAGGGAATGATATGGACATAATTTTCCTAGATTTTGGTAAATCTTTTGGTAAAGTGCCCCATACTATGATTATGGAGAAGGTGGAGAGATGTGAGTTTGACCATAATAGAATCAGGTACATTCAAAGCTAGTTGGATGCCCAGATTCCAAGGTAAATTGACAATGGTTCCATGTCATTGTGACAGGAAGTCTTGTGTGGAGTGCCACATGGATCTTTTACATGTCATCACTAGATAAAGGTATAGATGGCATGCTTGTCAAATTTGCAGAAGACACAAAGTTGGGAAGGCAGGAGAACTGACCCAATAGGTGAAAGGTTTGGGGTCCAAAAGGTTCTGAACAGGCTAAAGGAGTCAATCCAAAGTCTTGTACTTGGGTATAGAAAATCAACCTCAGAATTATAAACTGGGGTGGGGAGTGGGGGGGCATGTTTAAACAGCAATTGTCCTGAAAGGATCTGGGGGTTTGAATGACCTGAAAACCCAGTCAGCATCAGCACTGGGATATGATGGCCAACAGCCTGCATTAGGAGGGAGAGAGCTTCCAGGAAAAGGGAGGAAGAGGGAGCCCAATAGTTACTCTGCCCTCATCAGACTTCATCTAGGGTTCGGTCCTGAGCACCACAGTTTAAGGACATTGATAGACTGGCGTGTTCCAAGGAGGGCAGCCAGCCTGGTGGAAGACCTCAAGTCAGCTATGTCTTAGGACGATTGACTGAGGATACTGGGCATATTTAGCCTACAGAGGAGAGGGCTGGGATGAGGGAGGGGGAGACAAAAGGTGTCTTCAAGCATTTGTCATGTGCAGAAGGGATTTACCCCGTTATCCTTGGCCTGAAACGACAGAAGCAGGAGTAGTGAGTGGGGATTGCAAAGAGGCAGATTTAGGCTGCATTTCAGGACAGGATTCAGATCTGTTTGAACCCTCCCAGCATAAAGGTGGCAGGCTCTCTCTCCTTGGAAGGGAGCCTTGAAACAGAAGCTGGACAACCACTTGTTGGGTTTGTTATAATGGGGATTCCTCCATGCACTGGAGCTTCTCCATCCTGCAAATTCTGTGGTGTGTCAATTCTCCTGCTTACATTTACTTTGTTGTTGTAAAAGGTTTTTAAATTTTATGACATGAAATTGTCTGTCTTTGTGATATGTGACTAGTTCAAGGTCAGCCTCCTTGACCTCTCAAGGCCAAGCTCAGTTCCCTTTTGGGGCCTTTGGATAATATCGATAACGCTCCCTTCTTCACCATTGTTAGCTCATTTTCTCAATTTTGTCTGCCACGTAGAAGGCTCTATGTGCTAAGCACCAGGCCAAGAACTTTACAGACATGTTCATTTTATCCTCTCAGCAACCTTGGGGGGAGGTGCTGTTATGATCTCCATTTGATGGATGAGGAAACTCGGAGAGACAGAGGTTCAGTGACTTGCCCAGTGTCACCTGGCTAGCAAGGATCCAAGGCTGGATTTGAACTCAGGCCTTCCGGACTCCATCCACTGCACCACCAACTGCCTTTGGGCAAAGTTAGAGGCAGAGTTACCTGCAGCTCTGAGAGATTAAGTGACCTATGAGCCTCAGAAGCCAGGTCCTCCCTACTAGGGGACAGCAGTCTCCACCCTGCAGCCAGAACTGAGCTCCAAGGATCTTCCAAGGATTCAGTAAAGACACACTGAAGGACTGTGTTCACACAGTAGTCAAAGTAAGGAAGGGGCCCACCGGCTGTCAACTGCACTGGACGCATGTGCTGGCCACATCCTTTTGAAGTGTGCCCCCCAACCACTGTTGCAGATGCAGCCAGGGAGCCTGGACAGCTCAGAACCTCAGCAGCCGACCCCTTTTCCAACTCATGAGTGTCCCCCAGAGTGCATTCTTCCAGGTCCCTGGCAGCAGGCCATCCACCCAGCTCAGCCTGGACACGTGGCTGAGTCAGTTGTGATGGTGAGGCCCAGGGGCTGCCTCCCTGGGACTTTCAGCCTGAATCCTCCAAACCAAGCAGAATGACATTCAGCCTTCTTCCTGGTGACAGTCCTTCAGTGCATGTCTACTAAACCATTGGAAGATTGAGTTCAGCTCAGTTCATCCAGGACTTATCTGTGGATAAGAGGATAAGTGTATCTAGAACAGAGAGAAAAATGATCTTTGAGAGGAAACATAATGGCAGCATCTTGAGAAATGGTGATTGCAGGAGGTCTAATTTATCACCCAATGGCTCAGAGTTGGGAGGCCCAAGTTGGGATGGAGTTCACAAAGAAACTGGTGATTCATCAGACCCTGCTAATTCTCACTCCCAGACTTCCCAGACTTGTCATATTTTTGACAGACACCATTTGTCAACTTTGGAAAGTATTGTAGGTTCCTTTGGCTTCTAGATACCTTTCCTTAAAACATCAGGAATGTCACTGATGATGGAAATGACCTCTTAGAAACTTCCCAGGACCAAGGGCTTCCTGAAAGGGAGGAAGAGAGGTGGGGAGGGAGGGAGAGAGAGAGGGAGAGACAGAGAGACAGAGACAGAGAGAGAGAGAAGAGGAGGAGAGGAGGGAAGGAAAAATGGGGAGGGGCAGCCTATCTGGAGAAGATGGGGAGCTTACTGACCACCAGCTCAATTGGAATCATATGTGGCCTGGCAGCCCACTGGCTGTACAGTGCACTGGATATATGGACGGACCACAACAGGAGGGCAGTGTTCAGCTCAAGACATCATATGCTAAGAGAAAAGCTGTAGCTTCAACTCCAGTGGTTTTCCCATGACATCATACTGTGAGGACCAGGATTCTGGGAAGGATGTCTGAGGCCCCTTCTCACCAGGAGATTCCGTGATTCCATTTGGAGGCTTGAAGAGATTTCAGGGAACTCCAAACACCTGACTCTGCTCTCCCCATCTCCTGGTCCCTCCCAGTCCTGGGTCAGAGTCCATTTAATTCCACAAACATTTATTAATCTCCTCCCCAGGTCTCTCTCTCTCTCTCTCTCTCTCTCTCTCTCTCTCACTCTCTCACACACACACACACACACACACACACACGTGTGTGTGTGTCCCTAAACACAATAAATGTAGGCTACTGTTATTAATCTTGAATTAATTAATTCACAGCACCATATTAAGAAACATTGCATAGGGGAAGGAAGAGAATGTTGAGGTCTGGGGCCAGAGCAGTTTAGCCAGACGCAGATAGACAGGCAGGCAGACAGCTCTGTCTTGGCGGGGCTGGTCAGGGGGACCATGGGGAGGAGACTGACTGACCTCGTGCAGAGGTGCTTGGAATAGTGTTGGTTTGGGATTGGGGTTTGATACCAAGGGAAAGAACTCAAGGTAGAAGGGGGAAGTAATGAATGAATATGCCCAAGTTTGGGGTCTCCTTTGGGAAGTTTGCTGAGTCCTCCTTAGTGTTCCCCCTTCACCCCACACCCCACCTGCCTCCTAGATGTTAATATTGATTCTGTGGCTCACTAAGTGCACGTCAGTCAGTGAGAAAGGATTAGCCTCACCCATGGGAAGGGGGCGGTGGGAATAGGTCTTGTCTGAACTTGAAAAATCAAATGCTGATGTGGGTTTTATCCCAGAAACATAGCATTTTGATTCAGAACACATGGGTGGGCCAGTTAGCTCACACCTCCTCCATTGGCTGGGCCACAAACAGCTTCCATGGAATCCAGGGAGCCAGAGGTTGGTGTAGATGCCCTGGGAGTGAGCTCCCCATCCTTGTAGGTGTTCAAACAGAGGCTTGGTGTCCTCTAGAGGGGTTTCTTTTTTTTCTGGTATGGGTGGGACCCAGTGACCCCTGAGGTTGCCTCCTGCTTTGTGTGGGAGGTGCAGCTGTTCAGACTGCCAGCTCCCTAGGACCCCC